AGCTGCTTTAGAAGATAGAACCACGCGTGGGACGGGAAGTCGACACTGAACGACCGTTCGTAGAGGCAGCACCATACAAAATGGCCAGGCGGCTTCCGCGACACAAATATCCTGAAGGGTCACGCCATCTCTCCCACAGAACCATTAGAACTATCTTGATTAGTCACCTGCTTTCCCGGAAAAGATTTCACAGACCCCACAGGCCTATCAAGAAACTATAATGGACCTCTAACACCCTTCCGAAATTCTTGAAGATACGTCAGCCCTCTTAGAAAACTTCGACGGTACTCTCAAACATTTCGACGATACGTCAAGACGTTTCAAAATCATGAATTTCTGACAGATTTTTAATAGGGTAGAGTCCAGTCATATGTTCAGTTCAGCACACGCTGTCGGCACTGGCTTCAAGAAAAACTATCCTAGCGAGATAATCGCAAGCGGAGCAAAAATTTATTTCCGGCCCCCAATTACCAGCTCGCATTTCTCTGTCTTTTTAATGTTTGATCGATAGTCTCACGTGCTTCAAATTAGGACAGTATGATGACATCTTACCACTGTTCCATAATTTTTTAGCCTTGTCCGCGACTTGTACATTTTTGTTTTTCCAGAAGCCACATTCGCAGCCAAAGGCAGGAAAACAAGTAACACGAACACGCATGCTAAAATCACACATTCAGGGTTCATCCACTGCGATTGATTGGACTCGCCGATATTCACGCACGCAAAAAAAAAAGTATAACACAGGGAGTGACGTTGCCCGTTCGTAACTTGCTGTTTGGCCAATTAGGTCATGGTGTCGGCTACGAGCTAATGGGGCTGATAACGGGCTTCACGGGCAGCTCCTCAATATTGACTGAACTTGAAGGGACACGAATATAGGTTCCGATTATAGAAGCATTTGAAATGTTCCCGATGAATCGTAGAGAATAGTATATGTGTTTGCCTATTTAACGAAATGGGGGGTGTTTTTGTATTTAAAAAAAAAATACTTTTTTGTAGAACCAGGAGTTGGACATCGCAACTCTAGGACAAGCATTTTCTGTTTTCTTTAAGAACAAGTGAGCTTTGGCAACTTTTGATACAGAGCTATTCTCAGTAAACTCCTGAAAACACTTAAATAGATATAGTAGTTTTCCTTTTTTAAATTTGGTTAGAGGGGGATAGAAAACAGGGAAACTGTATGTGCAGCGACAGTCGCTCTCGGTCCTGGAAATTTACAGCGGATCTGAAGTTTAAAAAAACAAATACTCCGTTTACTTTTTTTTTTTTGCATATTTTGTTTAAAAATAGCAATTCGTACATTCTCCGCTTCGCATAAGCTTCATTTCAATATGTGTTAGTGTCTTCAGGGCTGATTCCCCAACAATAATTATTTTAGCTGTTTAGTGAAGATATTTATTTGAACTACAAAATCTAAATGACGTTTTATACTTCATTCATTGTTTACTTATTTTGTGAAAGGCAAAATATGCTCATCACAGCGGTGTCTCAATGATACGAATAGCATCCCCTTTTTCGCACAGCCGGTTTGACGCCAGCTGGTCTAGTGGTAAATTTAGCGCGCTCTCGCGCTTCCCGCGTGCTATGCTAAACCAGTTCTCTTCGCATAGATTAAGTGGAACAAAACCAACGCGAAAAAAAAACATAAAGAATGGACGACAGCGCTGTTCGTGTGGTCTTTTTTATTCTCCTCTGATTTTTTCCGCTGCTAAGCTATGCTTTAGTCGTCCTAAAATTGACTGGTGTAAAGATTTCCGACGGAATGCAGCATGTTTCTAATTCAGACTATATTTATTTTTTACTAATCAAAATTGTTAATTGATATTAAACTTATATTGTTTAGGTTATTTTTCTAATTCGTGTTTGTTTGTTTTTGCCATTTTTGACGTCCGCCGTAGCTTCCAGTTTCTTTGCGGAAAGTATTTTTTTCTCGGACATATTTATGTTAGGATGTGTTTAGTCTTCGCAGAAGCACCCGTTATTACATCTTCATTCGTCCTTTTCCCCTCAAGCTCGCTAGTATGGCATCTTTTGTTGTATTAAATTTGTTATTTATAATCACATTTGTACCATAAACGCTTTCATATCACGTCCAATGCAAACGTAATTTATGCTTCAAATAAGTCAAAAGTTCCTTGGAAAAAATGAGACACTTACGATTCCTTGTAATGCCGAATTAGAGCGCAGCGCTTGAGGAGGAGGAGGGGAGGATACGGAGAGGAGGGTATCCCCTCCTCCTTTTCTGTACCCTCTTCTCTTCTCCTCCTTCTTCTCTCCTTCTCCTCCCTCCTTCTCTCTTTCTCCTCCTCCCCTCCTCCTCCCTCCACCCTCTCCGTCTCCTCCTCCACTCATCCTCCTCCCCCGTAACGTCACTCGTGACCCTCGTGACGTCATTCGTGACCCTACGGACCCTCGTGATGTCACTCGTGAAGGCCTCGTGAAGGTCATGGCCTTCACGAGTAACCTTCATGACGTCACTCGTGACGTAGCTCGTGACCCTAGTGACCCCCGTGACGTTACACGTGAGGTCACGTGTGACGTCGTTATGGGAAACGTCCCATAACGCAACGCGCGGTTACGCTGTTGCATCAAAACGGGCGCCTAAGGGTTGAGCTCTAAAATACTCTGTTTATAAATCCTGCAAAAACATCTATATTATTTTGAAAAGTGTAAATCAATACAAAACGTAACACTAAACGATGAAACTGAAACAGAAAATGTGACGCAGCAAAATGTGGCATGTAGTAACAGATTTATTAGCACGTACAAATAAAACTTAAAATTTTTTTCTCTTAATCTATGCAAGGTGCTGAAAGCGGCTTTGTTACAAGTTGGCATCGTCCCCCGTTTTTTTTTGTTTTTTTTTTTAATTTTATATGAGACTATATCGTTTTCGGGAGATATTAAGTTTTTTAGGGCTGCTCCAATTGGAAAGCACCACAGAATGAAAGAGTGCGATCCTTAGGTATGAATTTGATCGCAGTTATCGCAAACGTACGAATACCTCAAAGGGGCACACCATTCTGCCTTGGCAGCGCCACAAACGAGAGCGTCCTCATTACGTCGCGTAGTCACAGTGCTCCTTGCTTCCTACCTCCTCTAAAATGTGCACGCAGCCACTTGGTCGCGTCTGCGTCTACCTGTGCCCGTGTTTCTCTTTCTCGCTTTGGAGTAATAGTTTGGCACCTTGACATTCGAAAGCCTGGTCGCGTCCATTGCTGATCTGTGTGTGTTCTCTTGTCATCCAACCCGCGAGCGTTGCCCGCAGAGGTCGGGTTCGATCGTGTCCCCAGTTGTAAGCGGCAACGACACAAACCAGCGCCATGTTTTTTTTTTTTTTTTTTTCTCTCGTTTTTTTTTTTTGTAATAAAATATGCCGCTTCGTAGTACCTGTGTGTTCGGCGGTTCGTAAATCTCCAAGGGACGATATTCACCAGTGCCAGCAATTGATAACATCCGCATGAGAAGTATTATTAGCTCCTCTTATTAACAGATTTCTGACGAATCGAGTAAACGTACTGAGACTCAGCTGGTGATCGCGGCTGTTTTCGCCAGCGTATGGAGGGGATCTATGTTCTCAATTTCGGTCTTGAGTAAAAAAAGTCTAGCGCCAACTGCGGCTCTGAACCTTTTGTATAGTGCCGTACTCACGAAAGCTTACTTTGATTAGAAACAAATGTCGGCTGCTACAAACGATGTCAGTAAGGAATGCTTCTCCTAAGAGCCACACCGTGGCACCATTGTCTTGTCGCACGCTTCCAATAGAGTTGTGATGCGGATAGCGAACGGGCGAGCAACCTTGTCGACGCATTTGTTTTCGTCACACATGATGACAGGGCGATTAAACACTCGAAGAATGGCAGTCGACTTTAAACCATAAACAAAGCCTTGACTTCCTATCTTAAATTTTTCACAAGCGAAGGGCCGAAATTATTATCTTTATTGTTAGAGTTATACATTTTACACTATCTGAGTAGGTGCGCGCCAAAGAGAGTGAGCGCGACTGTTCACGAATATGAAACAGCCCATAATTTTCCGTAGATTAATTTTCCAGGAGGCGGCGTGAGAGCTGCACTCCTTGTAAGCAGTGAGAGAGTGCAGGCGAGCTGGTAATCAATCGACATCTCAGGGTTTACAAGATGCACTCCTTCAATGTCGCAAACCAAAAATCGTTTTTATCTTTCAGATCCCTCTTTGACGGCTTATTCCTCAAACAACAAACTGAAAACTATTTGACTTCTTTCAATAATTATTTTATATGAGACCGGATTCTAGTGAACTATTTCTAAGATTAATAAAACAAAATCGGAACCGCTTTCAAGGTAAGCGACGGTGAGCTGTCACAAGCATTCCTTCACGGACAAAACAACCGCACCTTCATTCCTACTGCGATTCTTGAGTGGAGCAGGAATTACCTAGAATACGGCGCCTTGTGTTCGCATGAGTGCTCATGAAAATGTCATACCATAATAAAATTCCATGTTCATTCTTGGAGTGCTCACCTAGAAATTATGTATGTTATTTCAAAACAATATATAAACGTAAGTTGATGCAAGTGGCTCGCGCTTTTCCAAGAATATCTATCACATGACCGGGTGTACTCGTAGAATCTTTCAGTATTTATTTAATGCATTATCGCCCTAGTATAATTGTCCCACAAGAGATGACTCCCTTAATTCCACGCTTTCTTTTTAATGTCTCGCAATATTTTATTTGTAGGTGACTTTTTTTATAGAATAACAAATGCCTACACTGTCTTTAGCCCTTGGTGACATATGAAATTAAATGATTCAAAGGATAAAACGAAATAGAAACATTTGGAATTATATTCCATCGGACGTACATACACACATAAATTCGGGAATCGAGCAACACAAGTTTATTACATGTTATCAGGGCAGTTCTAATAAGATATTCGAGCTAAATAACTCTGCTCTATATACTAACTACGCATTTATTTTGTACCTGCTTGCATTTTAATGTAGAAAGACAGACTTTTGCTATGTATAAAAAATAACTTAATTTTATTTACAGATGCCGAACCAACAGAGCGGCGCGGCGTGAAGATTCTGCATGGTGCTTCCGGCATTTCTGGAAGTAGAAGGGATGATAAATATTTATGACATTGTTTTTTTCGTAAACATGATTTTTTTTTATTTTTGTTTTTTTAGCTGACATATAATGCGCGCGACAAATGAACCTTTTTGCTCTACAAAATCAACTAAGTCTTTAAAAATCCGGTGATAATCGCTTCCGATAAAGATTAAATCAACACCACAATTTGACATATCCACCCACTTGAAACAAAAAGGCGGCAAATAATTTGTGATATAATTTCGTGCGTTTTAAGAGTTTTATGCGTTTCCATTTAAATCACACATATTCAAATATGCGCAATTTATGATAACGTTCTTTGGATGTAACTTGACAAAATGGATAAATGTTCGCGTTTAGGGTGTTCGTCTTCCTTTGGAAGTAACAAATAAAAAGGCGAGGCTGTTTTTCAGAGCCCTAATACTACAATAACTATGAATCACTCATTGTAGAAATAACCCAATGCATTGCATGCAAAAATAAGTTAAAACTGGTATAGCTTAAATTGAGAAAAATAATTATATATCCGAAAACAAATAAAATTGAAGGTCTGTTCAAATACGAATGCGCGTTTTTCCACAAGACCGGCTTTGATACTCCTATCAGAATAACCTTTTGTCTTATGCAACTCTACTGGAATCTAACGATGCCAGAGTAGATGCTCGTATAATAGCAAGTGGGTAGTGCACTTTTTTTTTGTTGTAAGAACCATGTGAACATCATTTATGGCATGCTGAATAAGGATTCATCAAAAATGGCTTCTGAGCCTCTTTCAATTTTTAACCGTTCATAAAACTGTGTAATTGACATGTACTATAAATATCCTTTTAAAACTGTCATTCTCAAAACATATAATTTCAATAAAGCTTAGATATTCTGGAATCACAAAACACTAAATGCCAGGAACCCGTTTTTGTGACAATGCAATACTTTCAGCAAATACTTACACTTTTTGCGGAGGTAGTTTCTGTAGTTTCGAACATCCCGAGTTCGCGCATAGTTGTGGCCGTAGGTGGCACTTCCCTGTCCGTATTGCGAACGGTAAATGCCAGAGCTGTAGGATGGAGCACGCAAAGAAGTGGGCCCTGATGAACCTCTAGCTCCAGAGGACGGAGCATAGTGAACTGTAGTATGCTGAGAAGAGTGGAACGGGTCCATCTTTGTCACGCGCGATATAGCCTGAGGCCTGCGCACGGCATTCCCACGCTGGTATGTGTTAGACGGCCGTCGATCAGAGTTGTAGGCACCGTACTTTGGTAACCTTGAGACACCAGAGGCAGTATACGTGAAAGCAGGTAATTGGTACCCTCGCGAGTATCCTGAACCGGACTGGAAAGAACTAAAGGAAGACGGCGCAGCGCCGGTCCGGCGGCCAGCAGAGAACGTGGATTTCTTCTTGAAAGCAGACACTGCAGGCTGGGAATACCGTCGCGTATAGTACGGATTCACGGCACCAGAGTCAGAAGGCTGGCGAAAACGGTTGTTGCCGTGCGCCGGTTGGTAGTCTCGTGTCCTATCTGAAGCGGTCTGGTAGGACGAAACTGCGGCCGGAGCAGCAACATTGGCTCGACCAGGGGTGAAGGTGGAATATGTCGTGCCTTTCGACGCTGCGGGCGCTGGTGTAACGGATCCGGTGCGCTGGTAGAAACGTGCATCAGTAGAAGGTTCAAGGTCGGCAGCAGGGTCCGGTGTAGTATCCGACGAGTAGTAGGTGACGCCTTGGTTCTCATTTTCGGTGGCAAACTTCGGTATCCCACTGACGGTGGAAGCGAGGCGAGCTGTATCGATCACGTCGTCGGACTTGTAAATTTTGACCAGGGGAGGGTCGTCACGGTAGACAGGGAGATCAGAAACTTCATCGGTCGACAAGGCACTGATTCCGTTCCCAGTTTCGATGCCGACATCGCTTAAGTAGTCAGCGAAGGCACTTCCGACGAGCGCAAGAACGATATACGTTCTGACCTGCACAGCAGAAGATAGGATATGAACCAGCTCTTTCATTTCGCCCGTAACTGTACAGTGGCTTTTCTTATGTAGCTCATTCTTCTACCTTTATTAAAGTGTTTCAGTTCATCTCGCATGAACATTTATGAACATTTATTGCCTGCGTGGATTTAGTTTCCGTATTCATCGCCGTCCTGGACATCGTTTAGCACTTAACTTACGAAACTTATTTATCCAGAAAGATGTATTTCTTAAAAAGCGAAGTAACGTATAGGACGAAAGAAGGACGGTCACCATAGCCTCGTTAGGAAACACTTTGTTTTAAAGAACACACGTATTCATTCTATAGCGTCATCACGGAGTGCTTGAAAAATAAAAAATAGAAACTTTGACATTATCAAATTTGGCAAGTGTGGACTTCTCACATTTCAAATAATAATGCTCTAGCGAGCGTAATAATATAAAATTTCTAAAGTCGCATTAATCTACTTGTGTATTTCAAACCGCCACAAAATAAAAATTAAATCTACTATTGCTGTTCATTAAACACCCATCAAAGGCAAGGATTTGCGTAACAAACGCAATTACCTACAAAATTTGCGTTTATATTGAAGCAATGCCTTATGTTAACGCGCTGTAAAAAATACTATTTATAAGATCACTAATCATAAACGCGTTCCTTTATCTAACACCTGCGCCTGTACTTTTAAAGGATTTATAAACCAATAATCAAGGCTACTCACTCCAATCATGATTACTGGCCTCGAGGTCTTGAAGATACATTAGAATTGTGAAAGAGGTAAACAGCTATATATATACCGAATTTTCGGGGAAAGGGAGAATCATTCTGGTTTCTACCAGTACTGCTCCTCTCCGACACCACATTTTGTATGCCACAAAACCTGTTACGGAAAGTTGAAGAAAAAATGTCAGGACTCCCAGATTGCATTCTTAAGAATCAACATCTGTCGCGCTTCCAGGTCGAAGGACACATTTCCATAACGTGGGGCGCATCTTGACGTCGCAAGTTTCATGGCAAAGAAAAAACAATTCCCGGTAGAACGCGCATAGCTCGAGTTCTTCCGTTCCTGAAAGTTTAGTTTTTTTAGTTTCAGGCTCCTTCACGTAGTGCAACATTATGCTGAGTTTGTGTCAAAGAGTGAGCTTCAAAAAAGCCATGTTAGAAGCTTGAAAATACACGTATCACAGACCCGTTCCCAAAAGAATTCCTTAAAATCAATTTTTTGGCAGAGTGTGCGCCAGAAACATACTACAGGCCAAATATTGTGTACAACACTTGAGCAATTTCTTGCAACGTTCAGCCGTTAGAATCGTGTTGAAATGACTGTCTGAAAATGTCTGAAAATTTTCACTTCCCCAAATGGCAATATTAAACATCACGAACACCTCATTCACGTGCAAGCTAAAAAGAAAAAAAACTCGCTAAGCCTCACTCCTTTTCTCGCCATATTCGCCCCTTAACGGCGAAAAACGTGTCATGCAATACAAAAAGTTTAAGTTGCCATTGCAAACAATTAGTAATATGCTAAATATAATCTCGTCATATTACGCATAGCTTCTGACAATATTAGCTGAAACATTCCATCTGGACAACTGATGTGCCTGGAGTCTCATCCAGCACTAATATCTCCCGTATTGTCAGAGTTAAAAAACTGAGATACACGCTTATTGTTTAAATGTATGTTTGAATCAAGGCTTCTTCACACAGTCCTCGCAGACAAAGTAGTAACTGGCTTGGTATCAAATACGTCTCAAGAAAGCGAAACTGCTTCAGTCACATGGTATCATAAATTCAGCGATATCAGCCATATAAAAAAGCTGTGCGGTGTGCCTTCGTGACATCAAAGAACTCCGATAGTGGCTATTGGATAAAATAAAAATCCCTCGTGTTTTCTTTTTTTTTAACGTTGGTGATATACAGAAACTGGATTCTTAGGATGCAAGGGGTCTGCATATAAAAACAAAAATTACATTTACAAAAAAAATGGGTCCGCGACTTCTTGCCGCGAGTGACGAGACTTTATGATATAGCGCCTAAATTTGACACAATTTCCTATAATTAGGGTACTTTTGCCACTCATCTTGTATTATGCGGGTTTCTTTGACAACTATCTGTCATTGCGCTCAAACATTGTTCGGGTTGGTGACTGTTTCTCTGCAAAACTTTTTCGACGCCCGGTGTTCCCAGGGATTAATACTGGGCCCTCCTTCGTTCCTGATCTTCATAAATAATATTGTGTCTTGTGTAGACAGTTCTGAAATACTTCTTTTTTTGCTGATGACCTTAAGTTGTTCAAAAGCATCAAGAGTCTTAAAGATCGCGATGTCATACAAGGCGACGTTACCAGCAATCTTCGGAGGTGTAAAAAATAATAAATTGCTGCTTAACCACAAAAAAAAGTAATTTATTTCTTGCCGTCGGCGTTCTTTTTTGAGTCTAGTTATTCTCTTGAGGGATCGTCGATACAGCGTGCATCAATCTTAAAGAACCTTGGTGTGTGTGTTGACAGCGCTTTATCTTTTAGAAATGATGTGTTGGTGGTCGTGGGGCAATGCTTTTAGAGTGTTAAGGGTAATAATCGTTTGACGCATAATTTTAGAAACCCTCATTTATTTATTCACCTTTTTAATTATTTAGTGAGGTTATAACTCGAATTTGCTTCTGTCATATGGAACTTAATATCTAAGACAAAGGCAATGAGCACAGAAAATGTTCAGAAAAGAGTTGTCCGGATTGTTAATAAAAGATACTTTGAGCGGCGCTTTTATTATAGGTATGAATATATAATGAAAATGTTTTCATTTTAACTACTGTCTAAAAGGAGGACTGTTCGAGACTTAATATTTCTGCACAGGGTTGCAAATGGCGTAGTTGATTTGGCGCAACTTTTTGCGAAAGTGAACTTCCATATTCCATTCCGTGTAACCAGAGACCTTGCTTGTTTTGATGTTTGCTCAGCATGTAATAGCTCACCTCTCTCACGGATTCATTCATTGTGTAATACCTTCGATTTATCCTATTTTCACATATCTGCATCAATTTCTATGTACCTCACGATTTGAATGATAATATCCTAGCCCTTAGCATTCTGTTTGTCTTAGATGCTTTATATTTTAGTAAGTGTATTTAGAGCTTATGCATTTGCTCGCTGATTTAGTTTGTTTGTGTTGGTGCACCAATGAGAAGACCAATGTGGGTGTTTTGGGCACCCAAAAACAAAAATTGTTATTATTATTAATATTATTTGACTACAAATTTTTTTAACTGATAGGACATACGTAGTTTCTATAGCCAGTAACCGAAGCTCCAAAATTGACTTAAAAGTGGTGTTCCCCAAGGATCTGTTTTGTCGCCTCTTTGCGACATATTTGTTAATGAAATGTCCAAAGCAATCTCCACTTGTAGTCTTTTCCAATACGCGGATGACACGGTTTTGCTCTCGGTCCTCCTTAACCCGGCTACTGCAATCACTTCGCTGCAAAACGACACTTGCCGTTTACTCGACTGGTTTGAAGCAAATTGTCTAACGATAAATGAATCTAAAGCCAAGCTTGCCTGCTTTCATAATCCCTTTAAAATTTTAATGTCCAACCATCTCCTTTTCATGCATACGTCTCGGTGTATTTCTTGCAACTGCAGTCCTGTAACTTACGTTGATAAGGTTAAATATCTTAGGATAAAATTGGACAATGATTTGTCATGGAACACTCATCTCTCACAGCTTTGCAGAAGACTGCGGAATGTGTCTTGTTTGCTGTACCAATGCACAATCCTTAATACCTAGTTTAACAAAAAAAGAAGCAATAGCTCAAGCATTAGCATACGGAGTTTCGCGTTATGGTATAGCAATTTTTGACATATATCTGGAGTCTGGTACAAAAAAAAATAGATACAGTTTTGAAAGGCATCTTTAGAAGCATTGTCTACGGACCAGCATTGCAAACCGAAGAGAAAAAACTCGCCAACTTAGACTTGCCGTTCTTCATGGCTTTTTTTTTTTTTTTTTTTTTTCAGATTGTAGTTTTCAAGCCCTCAAGTATTTTTGGAGCGATATATATCAGATACCTCATGTGGCTACTAGATCACTTAGACATACAGGACGATTTAAGGTACCTTTTGTAACAACAAAATACGGGAAGAAGGTTCGGGACTTATATGTACCAACGATTTTCAACAGCCTACCAGACGACGTTTATGGTGCAGACTCCCTGAAGAAACTTAAACGAGCACTCCAAGACCTCAGAAAAACATCATGAATTTGTGTGTTTGTGTCTCTGCGTGACCCAGTGTGTGTTTGGCGTGAACTCTTACCAACGTGATTTTTTTTTTTTGTTGGTCTCTTCTTTCTTTATTCACCATCGTCAGTAGCATAGCGTGGAAACAGTTGCTTGAGTAGGGAACTACAAATGAGGGGGACATTTTGTACTAATGAAGTGAAGGGTGCTGTCCCACAAGTCATCCAACTGGCATTGAGATTCGTATTTCAACCAAGTATAATACATGCAAAAATAAACATTATTATTATTATTATTATTATGCCGAGTCTAGTTCTACAAGCCGCTATTGGCTTTTGACAGACTTGCTTTCTTTTGTATTGATGTTTCATATTTGCAATAAAATTATTAATATTATTATTACTATTATTATTATTGGTATGTTACATGCGAGCTGAACAGATCATTCCACAGAGCTGTTGATTGAAAAAAAGCTTTATCAATGGCTTTGCCCTGTGCCCCATCAGATCTAAACGCCTCCATCCACCGTAAGATCGTTATACAAAATGTCAGAATCTTTGTGTCGCGATATCTACAAACTTTCCAAACGATTTTTAACGTATGGATAATATAAAATGTCGAACGAGCCGCTTGTTGTTTCAGGCTTCAAAACAAGGTTGTTTGATAGTCTACTTATTCGGCGGTCATCAAGTCATCCCAGTATATATTACTCCCATTTTGAGAGACAATAATAATACTTCTTGGAGTAAAGCAGTACTGCGGTATGACGTCAAAGTCCACATATAACCTAGATATATTACTTGTCTTGAGATATTAGTTTTTCCTGCCTTCTCAAACTGAAGAGAAGAGACGAAACTTTAAAGGGAAAACATAGCTCAAAGCAGTTTTTGATCTATATATCTAATCTCTCATGAGACACATATATCGTGGACCAAACACTTCCGATAGCACGCGCAAAGATAAAGAGGACGTGGCAAAAAATAAATGCAAGCAATTATAAAACCTACCAAGTGCACACCGACCTTCAAGTTAATTATCGACACACTCCCATAACCTGCAACTTCACATCGGGTTCGGAAATATTGTATGGTATGTTAATAAAAGAAGTGCGCCTCTGGGCACGGCAGCGCGAGCCGAGGCATGTCGGCTAAACTTCTTCCTGTTATCGTGCAGCTTCTACTGATCGCCGAAGGACGCGCTCCCAATCCTGATGCGTCATCTACACAACATGGATTCGGCGCAGTACCCCACTTTCGTCACATGGACCACATTCTTTTCGGCTTCGTGACATCGACGCCAGGGCCATCGTCTACAAAAGAATCTGCCCATCACGACTTCACCAGTGGGCACGGCAGCGCGAGCCGAGGCATGTCGGCTAAACTTCTTCCTGTTATCGTGCAGCTTCTACTGATCGCCGACAGACGCGCTCCCAATCCTGATGCGCCATCTACACAACATGGATTCGGCGCAGTACCCCACTTTCGTCACATGGACCACATTCTTTTCGGCTTC